CCTTCCTCGCTACTAGGATGTTCGGATGTCTCAGTGTCATTTTGGCCTTGACCAGTTATTTCTGGAGAACTTCATCCATATTTAACAATGGACTGTTTGTTTAAGACCTGAAGAAGGGGTTCTCCCGAAAACCTGTTGGCTATATCTGATGTTATCAATCAAGAAGTATTTGATAGGAATCACCAAGTGAGATGAACATTTGTACTAGGGCCTCCTAACTAGTCTAGGGCCAGAACCTGGTCCCCATATACCACACTTCCACCACAGGGAGGGTGGCCACCTAAAGTTGAATTATCTCAGCTCCAACTCCAGCAGCAGGTTTCTTTTAGTTGGGGAAAAACTTAAACCGTATGACCAAAAGATGACCATCGTGAGCACCCCAGGTCAGTGTTATATGGTTTTTCCCCAAACTGTGGAACGTTCACCTTTGCTGGACAACTTATTCTGGTACAGGAAGCTGAAAAATAATGGACCTACTCGTAGTTCAGTGTGGAGAGAGCTCACTAGAATGCCTGGGGTGAGGGCTAAACATAGACCAGTTGTAGCTACCCTTCCTCGCTACTAGGATGTTCGGATGTCTCAGTGTCATTTTGGCCTTGACCAGTTATTTCTGGAGAACTTCATCCATATTTAACAATGGACTGTTTGTTCAAGAAGTGAAGAAGGGGTTCTCCCAAAAACCCGTTGACTATATCTGATGTTATCAATCAAGAAGTATTTTATAGGGCCTCCAAACTAGTCTAGGGCCAGAACCTGGTCCCCATATATCACACTTCCATCACACATCAAATTAAAGGTTGGGGTGACCACCTAAAGTTGAATTCTCTCAGCTCCAACTCCAGTAGTAGGTTTCTTTTATTTTGGGAAAAACTTAAGCTGCATGACTAAAAGATGACCATCGTAAGCACCCCAGGTCAGTGTTTTATGGTTTTTCCCAAACCGTGGAACATTCACCTTTACTGGACCCTTCTCTTTCTTTCTTTTTCTACTATTAGTCATACGTTAGTTGGTTGTACGAGGCTTCTAATGCTTTAGATGACTATGACTTTGTCTGTAATCTGAAACTAGTGACCAGTGGTTTTTCCCTTTCTGTGTCTCCTACCTCTTCCCTCCCGGTTCTCCCTCCCTTCTCCCAAGCCCACCACTGGGTTAGCCTTCTTTGATGTTTTTGACCACGCATAAGTGATGTACTCTGCTTTTGGGCAGGGATTAAGCATTGCCTCTAATGTTTTCTGTTCAACCCATGTTCTCTTTATTGTATTGAGACTAATTACTATGTTGCGACCCTTGTTCAGCCATTGTCTCTGTTAATTATAAAAGAAAAAACAAAAATCTTCTTCAATAAATACTATTGAAACTAAAAAGCAGCCATTCTAAACCAGGGTTCTGTGGATCCCTAGGGTTCCTTCATGAGTTGCTGGGGTTTCATAAACCAGGGGTCTCCATACTTTTTTTAAAGAACGGGCCAGCTCACTGTCCTTTCGAGTGGCCCATTGTTGCCAGTGGGAATAGAAAATGCCTTGAGGTTGGTGGCCAGTGGCAGTAAAGAAAATTACATAGTGCCTGTGGACAGTAAAAGGAGGAATAGTGTCCCATTGTTGGTGTCAGTGGGAGAAATGGTGTCCCATCATTGGTGTCAGTGGGAGGAATAGTGCCTCATCATTGGTGTCAGTGGAAGGAATAGTGCCCCATCATTGGTGTCAGTGGGAGGAATAGTGCCCCATCATTGGTGTCAGTGGGAGGAATAGTGCCCCATCATTGGTGTCAGTGGAAGGAATAGTTTCCCATCATTGGTGTTAGTGGGAGGAATAGTGCCCCATCATTGGTATCAGTGGGAGGAATATTGCCCCATCATTGGCATCAGTGGGAGGTATAGTGCCCCATCATTGGTCTCAGTGGGAGGAATAGTGCCCCATCATTGGTGTCAGTGGGAGGAATAGTGCCCCATCATTGGTATCAGTGAGAGGAATAGTGCCCCATCATTGTTGTCAGTGGGAGGAATAGTGCCCCATCATTGACGTCAGTGGGAGGAATAGTGCCCCATCATTGATGTCAGTGGGAGGAATAGTGCCCCATCATTGATGTCAGTGGGAGGAATAGTGCCCCATCATTGGTGTCAGTGGGAGGAATAGTACCCCATCATTGACGTCAGTGGGAGGAATAGTACCCCATCATTGGCGTCAGTGGGAGGAATAGTGCCCCATCATTGGCGTCAGTGGGGGGAATAGTACCCCATCATTGGTGTCAGTGGGAGGAATAGTGCCCCATCATTGGCGTCAGTGGGGGGAATAGTACCCCATCATTGGCGTCAGTGGGAGGAATAGTGCCCCATCATTGGTGTCAGTCGGAGGAATAGTGCCCCATCACTGGTCTCAGTGGGAGGAATAGTGCCCCATCATTGGTGTCAGTGGGAGGAATAGTGCCCCATCATTGGTATCAGTGAGAGGAATAGTGCCCCATCATTGTTGTCAGTGGGAGGAATAGTGCCCCATCATTGACGTCAGTGGGAGGAATAGTGCCCCATCATTGATATCAGTGGGAGGAATAGTGCCCCATCATTGGTGTCAGTGGGAGGAATAGTGCCCCATCATTGTTGTCAGTGGGAGGAATAGTGCCCCATCATTGACGTCAGTGGGAGGAATAGTGCCCCATCATTGATATCAGTGGGAGGAATAGGGCCCCATCATTGTTGTCAGTGGGAGGAATAGTACCCCATCATTGATGTCAGTGGGAGGAATAGTACCCCCATCATTGGCGTCAGTGGGAGGAATAGTGCCCCATCATTGGCGTCAGTGGGGGGAATAGTACCCCATCATTGGTGTCAGTGGGAGGAATAGTGCCCCATCATTGGCGTCAGTGGGAGGAATAGTGCCCCATCATTGGTGTCAGTCGGAGGAATAGTGCCCCATCATTGGTGTCAGTGGGAGGAATAGTGCCTCATCATTAGTGTCAGTGGGAGGAATAGTGCCCCATCATTGGCATCAGTGGGAAGAATAGTGCCCCATCATTGATGTCAGTGGGAGGAATAGTGCCCCATCATTGGTGTCAGTGGGAGGAATAGTGCCCCATCATTGGTGTCAGTGGGAGGAATAGTGCCCCATCATTGGTGTCAGTGGGAAGAATAGTACCCCATCATTGGTGTCAGTGGGAGGAATAGTGCCTCATCATTAGTGTCAGTGGAAAGAATAGTGTCCCATCGTAGGTATTAAAGAGAGGAATGGTGCCCCAACATTGGTGTCAATGGAAGGAATTGTGCTCCATTGTTGGTATCAGTGGAAAGAATAGTGTCCCATCGTAGGTATTAGTCAGAGGAATGGTGCCCCAACATTGGTGTCAATCGAAGGAATAGTGCCCCATCATTGGTGTCAGTGGCAGGAAAAGTGCCCCATTGTTGGTATTAGTGGGAGGAATAGGGCTCCATCATTGATGTCAGTGGGAGGAAGTGTGTTTCAACGTTTATCAGTGGAAGGAAGTATGACCCATCATTGGTGCCAGTGGAAGGAATAGGGCCCCACTGTTATCGTCAATGAGAGGAATTATGCCCCACTGTTGGTGTCGGTGGGAAGAGTGGGAAGAATGGTGCATCATCATTTGGTTTCAGTTGAAGGAAATAACGCCTTTTATCAAGGACTGGAATAGTGCCCAAAGGGTCGCATAAAGCCAAACAAAGGGCTGCAGCTGACTCTTGGGCCACAGTTTGGAGACCACTCTCTAAAACCATGGCTAATTTACCTCCCATTTAATGATGCCTGTTAAGATCCAATGCCACTGGGCAGAAGCAGCTTCATGACACCAAGGATCTTTTTCGCTGTCTGTAATTAGGGCATCTTGACCACCACTGTAAAGGGGGCAATCTTACCACTGGCCACCACTGTAAGGGTCATTTTTCTCACTGATCTCCAATGAATTGGTTTTAGCTGGGGTTCCTCAAGACCTGAAAATGATTTCAAGGGTTCCTCTGGGGAAAACATGTTGAGAAAGGCTGCTTTAAAGCCTAACTCCAGCATACTAAGCTTAGAATGGTGCTCAAAGCCGGAGACCAAGCTCCCACTGTCCTCAGGTAAGAGGTGCAGGCTGCCTAAAATCCCATTATTTCAAGAGTTCTTCTGGGGCAAAAAAGATTGAGAAAAGCTGCTTTAAAGCCTAACTCCAGCATACCAAGCTTAGAACAGCGCTCAAAGCCAGAGACTGAGCTCCCATGGTCCTCAGGTAAGAGGTGCAGGCTGCCAAGAAGCCCATTATTTCAAGGGTTTCCTCTGGGGCAAAAATGTTCAGAAAGGCTGCTTTAAAGCCTAACTCCAGCATACCAAACTTAGAATGGTGCTCAAAGCCAGAGGCCGAACTTCCACCATCCTCGGGTAAGAGGTGCAGACTGCCAAGAAGCCCATCAGAGGCAGTACATGCATGAAATCAAGAAGGCGCCATAATATAGGCATCAAAATGGCTTCAGCCGACAAGTCTCCACCAAAGGCCCCACCCTCTGATGCATTTCATTCTGCCCACCCTGGCAAAATGCATCAGTGGGTGTGGCTTTTGGTGGAGACTCATAGGCTGAAGCAGTTTTAAAGCCTATACTATGGTGGCTGGTTGGGGGAGCGGCGCCTTCTTGATTTCTAACTCCAGCATAACTGATTTTTTTAGTTTTGGATAGAGTGGAAAAGAATATATGTTTTGTTCAGATTTGTAATTCTGTAGGTGAACCCTACTGTGCAGTTTTCCAGACTTCCTGTACTTGTGACACCTGCAAGAGGAAGGGGGGTAGTGGTTGTCTCCGGGACAGGTATGCATATATTGGATATCCATGTGTCAAGTTCATTTTAGGAAGGCCACAAAAAGATCCTTGGTGTCATGAAGCTTGAGGCATTCCCCCCCCCCCCCTAAACTCCAATGGATCCATGACCGTTTTTTTTTTCATTTCATCGATTCGGTTCTGCACATTATATCTTATAGATTTTGTAGTCTACCCTAACATTAGATATGTGGGTCAATGATGAATCTACTGACCTTCAGAGTGGTGGGACAGGATGAGAAGGCTGACGCAGGACGCCCCAGCTCCTGACCCAAAGATGGTAATTCTCTCTGGGTCCCCTCCAAAATGGCCGATATTTTCTTCCAACCATCGCAACGCTTGAATCTGGTCCAAAAGGCCGTAATTACCTTTTGCCGCCTGTTCCCCTGTACTCATGAACCCTGGAGGGATATGAAGACACAAAAAGTGAAAACAGGTAAAAGTAGGAAGATTTAGAGCCGCCTTTTTGCAGCCTTTTTAACACTGAAGAACACTTGAAATAAATGTCAGATCTCAGGGAACCCATGGTAATAATTACTTTGTAATAATTACTTTATGTAAAGCGAATGGTACATTAGCGTAAATAATGAGTTGTAGATATAAAAAGAATAAGGAATGTGACACACTTAGCATATCTGACACCCAGGGCTTTTCTATGCCACAAAATTATTTATAGTAATAATAATGAAATGAATAATACCATTGGGTGGAAAATAAATGTAGACAGTGAAAATGGTAGTATTCCCTCAAATGGTCAATGGTGAAGAAACGCCCACTTAAAATGAAAGTCAGTGTCTCCGTACCCCACTGGTTGGAGAAGAAAGGACTTCCTTGACTGGTAGTCAAAGAAATTCTCCCTTACAGGGGTGATCAGTGGAGAAGGACCTCCTTATATAGGTGGTCAATGGAGGAGGGCCTTCTTAAAAAAGTGGTCAGTGAAGAAGGTCTGTATTGTATAGACGGCCAGTGAAGAAGGCCCTTCTTAAATATGTGTGTAGGTGATCAGTGGAGAATGGCCTTCCTATATATGTATATACTGTAGGTGGCCAGTGAAGATGGACCTTCTTATATGGGTGGTCAGTGGAGAAGATCCTTCTTATATGGGTGGTCAGTGGAGAAGAACCTTCTTATATACTGTAAGTGGTCAGTGGAAATAACCCTTCCTAAATAGGTGTGTAGGTAGTCAGTGGAGATGGTCCGTCTTATATAAATGGTCAGTGGAGAAGGCCCTTCTTATATAAGTTTGTAGGTAGTTAGTGGAGAAGGTCCTTCTTATATGCTCTAGGGGCATAGGTGGTCAGCAGAGAAGGACCTTCTTATACTGTATAGGTGGTCAGTGGAGAAGAGCCTTCTTATCTTGCTGTATATTTGGTAATGGACAATTCCTTCCTATATAGATGTAAAGGTGATCAGCGCAGAAGGGCCTTCATATATACTAGGTGTATAGGTGGTCAGTGCAGAAGGGCCTTCATATATAATACTGTATAGGTGGTCAGTGGAGAAGGGCCTTCATATATACTAGATGTATAGGTGGTCAGGGATAAGGACCTTCTTATATAGGTGGTCATTGGAGAAGGGCCTTCTTATCTTGCTGAATATTTGGTCATGGACAATTCCTTCCTATATACAGTAGAAGTAAAGGTGATCAGTGCAGAAGGACCTTCATATATACTAGATGTATAGGTGGTCAGGGAGAAGGACCTTCTTATATAGGTGGTCAGTGGAGAAGAGACTTCTTATCTTGCTGTATATTTGGTCGTGGACAATTCCTTCGTATATAGGTTTAAAGGTGATCAGTGCAGAAGGGCCTTCATATATACTAGGTGTATAGGTGGTCAGGGAGAAGAGGCTTCTTATATGGGTATATAGGCGGTCAGCAGAGAAAGGCCCTCTTATATAGGTGTATAGGTCGTAGGGGAGAGGAGCCTCCTTATATAGGTGTATAAGTGGTCAACAGAGAAATGCTGGTTTATAGGCAGTCTGTGGAATTGGTCATTCTTATATAGGCTTATAGGTGGTCAGTAGAGAAGGGCCTTCCTATAAAGCTGTATAGGTGGTTAGTGGACAACGACCTTCTTATATAGGTTTAAAGGTGGTCAGTGGAAGAGGTCCTTCTAACATAGCTGTATAGTTGGCCAGTGAAGGAGGGCCTTCTTATATAGGTGTATAGGTGGTCAATGGAGAAGGGCCTTCTTATGTAGTTATATAGGTGGTCAGTGAAGAAGAAGAGTCTTCTTATGTAGTTATATAGGTGGTCAGTGGAGAAGGGTCTTCTTATCTAGCTGTATCATCGGTCATGGACAAGGCTTTCTTATATAGGTACATCAGTGCAGAAGGGCCTTCTTATCTAGTTATATAGGCATTCAGCAGAGAAGGGCCTTCTTATATAGGTGTATAGGTGGTAGGGCAGAAGGACCTTCTTCTATAGGTGCATAAATACTCAGCAGAGAAGCATCTTCTTAAATAGGTGTATAGTTGGTCCATGGAATAAGACATTCTTATATAGGTGTATAGGTAGTCAATGGAGAAAGGCCTTATTATGTAGTTATATAAGTGGTCAGTGAAGAAGGACCTTCCTATGTAGTTATATAGGTGGTCAGTGGAGGAGGACTTCTTATTTAGTTATATACAGTAGGTGGTCAGTAAAGAAGGACCTTCTTATGTAGTTATATAGGTGGTCAGTGAAGAAGGACCTTCTTATGTAGTTATATAGGTGGTCAGTGAAGAATGACCTTCTTATGTAGTTATATAGGTGGTCAGTGAAGAAGGACCTTCCTATGTAGTTATATAAGTGGTCAGTGAAGAAGGACCTTCCTATGTAGTTATATAGGTGGTCAGTGAAGAAGGACCTTCCTATGTAGTTATATAGGTGGTCAGTGAAGAAGGACCTTCCTATGTAGTTATATAGGTGGTCAGTGAAGAAGGACCTTCCTATGTAGTTATATAGGTGGTCAGTGAAGAAGGACCTTCCTATGTAGTTATGTAGGTGGTAAGTGAAGAAGGACCTTCTTATCTAGTTATGTAGGTGGTCAGTGAAGAAGGACCTTCCTATGTAGTTATATAAGTGGTCAGTGAAGGAGGAATTCTTATTTAGTTATATAGATGGTCAGTGAAGAAGGACCTTCTTATGTAGTTATATTAGTGGTCAGTGAAAAAGGACCTTCTTATCTAGTTATCTAAGGGGTCAGTGAAGAAGGACCTTCCTATGTAGTTATATTGGTGGTCAGTGAAAAAGGACCTTCTTATCTAGTTATCTAAGGGGGTCAGTGAAGAAGGACCTTCCTATGTAGTTATATAAGTGGTCAGTGGAGGAGAAATTCTTATTTAGTTATATACAGTAGGTGGTCAGTGAAGAAGGACCTTCTTATCTAGTTAAATAGGTGGTCAGTGAAGAAGGACCTTCTTATGTAGTTATATAGGTGGTCAGTGAAGAAGGACCTTCTTATCTAGTTAAATAGGTGGTCAGTGAAGAAGGACCTTCTTATGTAGTTATATAGGTGGTCAGTAAAGAAGGGCCTTCTTATCTAGTTATATAGGTGGTCAGTGAAGAAGGCCTTCTTATGTAGTTATATAAGTGGTCAGTGGAGGAGGAATTCTTATTTAGTTATATACAGTAGGTGGTCAGTGGGGCAGAACATTCTTATATAGGTTTAAAGGTGGTCAGTTGAAAAGGTCCTTCTTATATAGGTGTATACGTGGTCAGGGGAGAAGAGCCTTTTTATATAGGTGTATAAGTAGTCAGCAGGGAATAGCCTTACTATATAGACAGAATAGAGGGGCCCTCTTATATAGGTGGTCAGTGGAGAAAGGCCTTCTTATGTAGGTATATAGGTGGTTAGTGGAGAAGGGTCTTGTTGGACTGGTAGCTGTTACAAAGATTGTTTCCCTGACAGATTGATAAACAAATTATTGATGCAATTGGTCTGTGTTTGGGGGAGCAGAAACTGTTTGATGCACAAGGAATCCTTAGGACCTTCTGGAGGAACCACAGGGTTTCACAGAACCCTGGATGAGAAAACCTGATTTAGAGAATTAATTTTGCTAAGGTTGTGTGAAGGACACCGAGATATCTTTTGTATGGTTTCACCCTCATTATGGAAAAGGTGAATGCTGTTATAAGCTTTCCACGGTGGCTAAACACAGTATAGTGACAGTTGTTCTTTGGGAATATGGTGCCATTCTTTGGCTCCTTTTCATCCTGCCCCATGAAGCAAAACCAGTCACGTGATGAATCTGGTTTGACCTTTCTGGACCAACACAGCTGAAGATATTGAAGGCCAAAGGGGATCTGTAGCATCTCACACGGTAAATGCAACATTAGCAATAACTGATCTGATATCATTTCCTGAGAATTTCTGAGGATTTTGGTTGTTAATGAGAGTTTGAGCTTCTCTACTAATTGGCTCTTGTAACCTTTTCATGAAACATTGTGCTTAGACGAGGTGTACAGTGAGAGTTCTAATTGCTTTCCTGGAAGGGGAATTGGCTCTTCTGCAATTATTGTTTTTTAATGCGGACTTTCTGCAAGCTGCTGGTATAGGTTACCCAAAACCTGCTTCAAAGGGAATGTACTGTATAGTCATTGAAATGATTTTTTAGCCATACACCATATAGCCAAGAGTACGAGAACCCCCCCTCCAATGGCTGAGTTCAGGTGAAGGGTCCTGGTAATGCTATATCATACAAAGACATTGTAGACAATTGTATTTTTCCAACCTTGTGGTCACAGTTTGGCGAAGACTCTTTTCTGTTCCAGCATGACTGAAACAAAGCCAGCTCCCAGGGCTGGGACAAGGGGTGGGCAGGAAGGGCGGCTGCCCTGGTGGTATCATATGGGATGGGGGGTGCTGAATGGAGAGTTCCTACCTATAAGCTGGCAGGAGTAATGACAGCAGCTTCAGACTGGTGCTGGGGATGAGTATTTGTGTTAGGAGGGGGGAGGGAGAAGAGGATAAGCGCTAGTAGGGGGGTTTGGGGAGAATATGAGCTGGGGGAAGGGGATTGGGGGGAGAGGATTTGTACTGGGAAGAGGAACTTTGGGGGTGGCAGTGGCATGAGATTTATTTTAGGAGGCAAAGATGGGGGGGAGGATTTTTGCTGGAAGGGGGGATGGTGGGGGTAAAGATGTGTGCTGGGTTGGGGATTTTAGTGGGGGGGGGGGGATTTGTACTGGAAGATGGGAAAATTTTGCTTGGGGAGAATTGTGGCTTACAAAAGTAATATATGCTTAGGGGTAAGATTACGGGGGAGAGGGAAGGGATTTTTGCTGACACATAATGCTTGTACATTTTAGAGGGGGGGTGCCATTTGGCATCTTTGCCCTGGGCACTAGATGACCTTGTCCTGGCACTGCCAGCTCCGTAAAGATATGGTTCAACCAGTTTGGAGTGGAGGAAGTCAG